TTGAGAAACAAGACAGTTATTCACTATTTTTCAATATAGTCCCCCACTTGACATCAACGCAATTGTTCCAACGATAATTAAACAGAGCAGACATTTCACGAAAGTTTATGGCATACTGGTCCTCCAAAATCTCTACCACAGCAGATATGGTCTCATCATTTTTTTTCAAAATGGCGGCTATGCAGGTGGGATTTGAGTTTAGGAAACAGGAAGAAGTTAGATGTAGATAATCCTGTTGAGTAAATAGGTTCTGGTACCATTATCTTGGAGAAAGTGCACACTTGCCTTCAGTTTCCATCTGCGTTTCGACGATTACTTCCTTCAATTGTACTAATTCTGATGTATAGTATTGTCCATTAATAGTTTTTTTTCTCTATATTCCACGTATTCTATCATGATTACACGTTCATAATAATAATAATAATAATAATAATAATAATAATAATAGACAGAAGCCAGCACATTGCCAACAGACGCTGGCTTACTTCTGCGCCATCCGTAAGTTTTTCTTCTCTATGTTGACATTCATATTAAGTAACACCTTGCATCTTAATGGCTTTATCACATTTCGTGTGAATGGATCAACAGAAATACAGAATATGGAACAATTATTTACGAGGTACATACCTGTCTGTGAACTTTCCTATTTACCCATAATCACTAAGGGAGGGCATCAAAACGGTTTTACAATTGAAAAATTTCAAAAGTCATGAACTATATATATATATATATATATATATATATATGTACTGGGTGTAACAGCAAAATTTTCCAAATCGAGTAAAACCATAACTGTCCCTTTCACAAAATGTTTACTATCTAAAATCAATAAACTATTTTTTTCTTTTTGCCAGGTCTTCTGATATGATGTTTAGCCATCTTGACACTATTTTTGTCGTAAGAATCACTGAAAAAAACCTTTGAGTTATTCAGCTAGAAAAAAGACATGTGAGAAGGTCTCACTGTCTTCCCAACTGAGCAATGGTGAGAGGAAAAAGCTCATTCAGCACTTCAGTATAGATACAGTCATTCATACGATGGCTTTCACCTCCAAGGTCCATTAAAGTATCATCAAGAGAAGGTTGAATAAATTTAAAATAGTGGGAACAGTAGTGAGAAAACCTGGATCAGGAGGTGACAAAAGGAAGAGAGATCATCATTCCAACTTAGAGACCAAAAAGATCAATTAGAAAAGATGCAAAAGAATCCATAAGACGTTTGTCACTTGAGAGATGTTTGAGCTATCACACTCCAAAGAACAGTGGAAAAAGACTTGAAGAGGAAATCGTACGTGAAACCTGTGATGGAACTTCTTCATCCAGGACGGAAAGTTAGAAGGTTACAGAGGTGAGGGTCATCTTGAATAAGTGAGAGAATTATCCTGAATTTTTATATATATATATATATATATATATATATATATATATATATATATATATATATATATATATTAGAACTTTTATCAATATTCATGAGCTTCCGATCCTTAGCTATGATTAATTATGAACATGTCATTTTCGTTTATATTCGATTTCATCGCGATACTTCTGTTAAGCGAAGAGAGTAATTATATATTCTTATTGCTCAAAGGAGAGTCCAGTAGCGTTATGAAAATCTCGGAGAATTCCAGTGAGATATCTTTAATCATTTCTGAGATACAACGTTTCAGTGCTTAATCAAAGATCAAAATTTGCTTTTACACTCGGTATATATATATATATATATATATATATATATATATATATATATATATATATATATAGGAGTCTCACATTTTCAAACATGGTTAGCCTATGACAGCTTTCGGATATACTTTTAGCCATTATCAAGGATGAAGTTATTTTTACTTTCAACTAAATGCATGGAATGTGGTTCCTCTGTATCTCGAGTTATAGGAATATTTTGTATTCACAATACGGTCAACGCAAGAACACGTCTACTTTGTTTTCAAATTACAACATTTCTATAACTCTATAACACAATCCATCCATCCAACTAAAAACACACACACACATACACACACACAAAACAATGTATACACTCTTTAAATATCAATAGTCACCGTACATTACCGTGATGTGAGAAAATCTGCAAAACAGATGGATTGGAAGAAGAGGGACAGTTGAATAGCCACCTAGATCACCAGATTTGACACCCTTGGATTTCCTTTTGTGAGGGTTTCTATAAGACAAATTTTACAGCAGGAATCCTCAAACAATTGCTGAAATGAGAGTAGCAATTGAAGAAGAATTTGCTCAAATACCAGAGGAAATGATACTGGACGTTTGTAGGTCTATTTCTTTTCAAGATATGAAAAGTGTATTGAACAGAACGTCAACCAGTTTGAGCACTTGATGTGAACTCCTCATTATATGAACATTCTGCCAGTGCCCAAAGTAGTTTTTATCTTATAAAAGTTAATTTTCTATATTTTTCGTATATTTTACTCTCAAATTCTTTCAATATGTATTCTTTCTCTTGTATTAATCTTATTTACAAGCCAAAATACATGAATGAATGTTATAATGATTCAAAGAGTGTATTCATTATTTTGGGACATCCTTTTTATATATATATATATATATATATATATATATATATATATATATATATATATATATATATATATATATTATGTGGGGGGTGTCCCATCATTACGTGTATGTTCATTGCTCTCCGCAACATCCTACATTTTATAGCCCGTAACAATTTTTTATTATCTACGTCATTGTGCATTTTACACAATATAATCAAGTAAATCACTGCTTCTTTTTTGCTTCACTATGTGATTGTTATATTCTCCAAGCCTTCTTTCCTCATTAGGTCTCGACAAATCAGTCTAACAATGTGTTTTATTTACGCTATTTCAGGACTTTAGCAAATCTTTCCAGTTTATTATTACGTATTTTAGCTTTTCGAAAATATAATTCGCTATCCCAATGTGCCTTCGGATTTCGGTGTCACATGTTCCGCCATCTTTTAAACACGGCCCAGATACACTATTTACATTATTCAGACTAATGTCCTCATGTTTGTCGCCATATTTATTGTAACGTTTCGGCCGTTGGACGCTCTGGTCTTCTTTTGATTGTTGAAATGTCGAACTGAATCCTTTATTTCGCGCACTGGGGTAGACTGTTCAAGTTCCACGTGCCATGTCTAATGGATGTCAGTTATCAGTTATCTCCTGTTAATTCTCCTCTCCAAGTCCTCCACCGCCTTAACCAGGTATTGAACTCACAACTCTTTGGGTCCTGTCACTGGATCTAACCAACGCCTTTATCCTCAAGGACACATGGCACAGATATTCGAATTTCTTCCCAGATATTTGAATTTCTTCACTTACTTGAAAACACTTTCCGAGGAAACTCCTAAAGAAACAGGTTGGGATAACCGATGACTTCTTTTTTGGCGTGTGTGGGGGGGTGTTTTACGTTATACAAAATGTATTCTCTAATAGCATGCAAGGGACAATTCGAAAATCTAATGTGGACAATACAGCTAATTCCAGGTGATCGATGGCATGATGTATGATTTTTTACGTGACATGAACAAACCGATTAAGCATTGATGATCCATCTGCCATTATTTTTTTTTATTCTATCAATGTGATAGTATTGTTATAAATAAAAATGGTTTTGATTCTTTGCAAGAGACACTATTTACCAGACCAATTCGAATAGCTTCACGGTCTGATGATTCGAGGAAATGAGACGAGACACTATTCTTTGCTCCACGAAAGCGTTACAAATTCATTTGCAACCCGACAAACGCCATTACTGTTTATCGCATGCAGTAATATTCCAGGATATTTAGACATAAAATATTAAGAGAAAGGATGTACTGTCAAAATGGTTACTGCTCTGTTGGAATCGGCTGGCTTGAATGCTGATGTTGGTCCAATAGATACGAAGAATTTTGCCATAGTTCATTCTCCAGAGACACTCAACAAAGACTTAAACATATAATTGCAGTAATAAAGCTTTACACGTTATTGGAGCTATGGAAAGTATTTAGAAGAGAAGAATTTGAATTATTTTAAGAGCTATAACCATCCAGTATTACTAATTATAGAAAAAAAAACAGATAGAATCCTATGATGTGCTTTGTAGTATTAGGGTAA